TGAAAATGTTTCAAATTTTACACTAATTTAAATAACGTAAAATGCTAAATTTTTCATAACGTTTTAATTGTCAATAATGCTAAACGGAAAATTTTTTAAACGTTTAAATTTGTATAATGTTTAAATGCTTAAATTGAATAACGTTTAAATTATTTATAGCGTTAAACACTCAATTGCTTAAAATGTTTAAATGTCCCATAACGATAAATAATACATATTATTTTGATTGAAGACCCAGTCCATACTTAGTGAAAAATTAGATAAAACACAAGCGAAATTTTTAAAATACAGATAGATGTTAAAAAAAAACTACACAAAATACCATTCTAACCATCCGGCATTAGATTAAAAAAGAAAAAAAAACCACAAGTATTAATTAATCCTTAAGGATTCACCTGTTATAAATATTACCAACAATTTTAATTGTAAATTTTGAGCCTGAATTAAAGAAAAAATTTGAGTCGCCCCCCCTAGAAGTAAATAAATACGCCCCTGAACCGAACCCTTTATGTTCAGTTCGGTTCGAAATTCGAACCCGGGATGAAAAAAAATCGAACCAAACTATTAAGCATCTTTTACTATTCGAAAATCGAACTTGAAAATATTTGTCGCATACGATACGCATACGATCGTAGTTTTTTTTTCTACTTTTTATAGTATGTACTAATTGTATATATTTATATATTGTTATTTTTTGTAATAGTAATTTATCTTATTTTTATAATTACAATTATTATTACAAGTTTTTCAATTGTAAATGTATTTTATTTTGATTTCAGAGTGTTTGGTACTAAAAATGAAATTTACAATAGTGTTTATAATAATGAAATGTGTGAAATTGAAATTGAAAATTATGAAATATTGAGAACCATAAATATCATTGAAATACTTAATGGTCAAACTCAAAATACTCAAAACATAAATGATGTATTAGATACAAAATTACCGAAACATCAAGGATGTGTTGCTTACACGTTGAATTTAATTGCAACAGTTGATATTCTAGAAGAAGAAAAAGATAGTTAATATAAAGTATTTAGTAGACGTGTGTTTGCTAAATATCAATCTATTTTCAATAAGCAAAATCAATCGACACAGTGTGTTAATAAAATTAAAGAAATTCTGCCACCAGGGCAAAACGCCAACAGGCATATTAATATTATTTAAATTTCAATACTTAAAAATTGAATACCATGTATTATGACTTAAGTGTTTCATTATTAATAACAAAATAAATTACTTTAATTTTCAGATGGAATTCGTTCTACGATGCCATAAAATGTAATGTTGGCCATATAGATAAAATGGATACAATATTCACAACATTTCAATTAATTCCTTTCTAAGGTCAAAGAGAGTCTTAATTTTTAATTGAATACTGCAAGGTAATATATTATTATTAATTATTAGAATGATAGGTATAATGAAAGAAAAATAATAGTTTAACAGTAAATTTACTAAAAAAAAAAAAAATATTTTTCTTATTAATTTTTCATTACTTTGTAATTATTATTGTAATTACTATAACATTTTCGCGACAAAATTATAAAGGCAAATATAAATATTAACAAACTAATCGATATAACAAAATTTATTATATTTATTAATATTTTATATATATAATTTTAATTTATTAATATTTAGTGGAACCTCCATTAGCACGAATAGTGGCAAAAATTCTATTTGGAATTGTGTCATACACCTTTTTTATAGCATCATGGGGAATTAGTGCCCAAGCTTCTAAATTTGATTTTTTCAACTCACAGACTGAAGAATATTGTTTGCCATCTTTATAAACTTCTTTGGCAAGTTATCCCCAAACATTTACAATGATATTTAGATCTGAGGATCGTGCAGGCCAATCTAATATTGGTATAGAATTTGTTTCAAACAATAATTTTATGATTCGAACGATATGGATTGGCGCATTGACCTATTGAAATATAAAATTTCTTCCTGCGGTTTTCCTATGACATGACTTTTGGGTATAGAGGAGATCATTATACATCAAAACATTTATTCCATCATCTAAAAAAACAACTTCACTTCGTCCTTTATAACCAATTGCACATCAAATCATTACAGATCCTCCTCCCATTTGACGTCTTGACATTATACGTTCATCTTTTCTTAAATCGTGATAGTAGTACGAAATTCCATCAGATCCATCCAAATTAAATTTTTTTTCATCTGCAAAATTACTTGTCTCCATTTTTTTGACCATTTTATTTTATTTCTTGAAAAGTTCAATCATACATTATTATTAAGTTTGTTTAAATGTAGTTTTCATAATATTTTTTTTCGAATGAGTGTAGGCGTGCGTTTTATTAGTCTTTGTACATTACGAATACCAGTTTTCACACCACATTGATCGAGAATACGTGCAGATAAAGCAGAATTTGATGCAACTCTTAAAATTGCTCTTTTTTTACGATCAGTTAATATTTGCGGTTGACCTGTAGACTTCTTAGTATTGTAACTTTGACCAAGTTTTACAAAATTATCTATAACCGTGGAACTCCTATTTAGTCTACGCGATATTTCACGATTTGAAAGACCGCATTCCTTAAATGCTGTAATTTTTGCTCGTTCTTCATTTGATAATGGTTTTGTTCTTCCCATGGTAAATAATTTAATAATTAATTACAACACTATACAAATTATGCTAATACAATATATAATGTTAGATTGTATTAAGTATAGCAGAATTATAAAATAAGGATAATTTAATCATATAATTGCTAAATACATAATGAAACTGACTGCCTTTATAATTTTGTCACAACAAAATCTAATAAATTCATCGATAAATCTTTTTTTATAAACTTATAATTAAAAAAATTAAGATTAAATTACTGTCAATTTGTTTTTTCCCGAAATTTATCAGTACATAGAATATATTAATTATCTTTGTATTAATAATAACTAGTTTCACGTCATAATATATACAATTTTATTTGGTTAAATATTGTGCCTTTATATTTTTGTCCCGCAATGTACATACTTATTAGTATCTTATTTACATGACAATATATAAATACAAATTACAATAAAAAAAATTACAAAGGTCGTAGTGAAATTGTGAAAATAAAATGTGGGTATTATACATAATGTAGTATTTTCAATTAATATTTATTAGAATGTTTTCCTGTTTATCGTGATTTGGAACTCGACAGCAAGTAGCTAATTGAATAAATGATCGAAATAGTTGGAAACCTCATTCTAATATCGTCGTCGTCGCCGCATTATGATAAGTCATTATCATATTATACGCGCACTGTCTGTACCACGATTAAAAATATCCCCAAAAAAAACCTAACGGTGAAAAAAAGCCAAGTTCCTAACTCCCTCCCAAAAAGTCGGCCTACCAAAGTAGTAAAATCTACATTGTGACCAAGTCTGGTATTTTTTAATTCATACCCTCACTGCACTTCTACATTAAAGAGCAACACTCCTCTTTTATTTGTATTGTTTAACACTTGACCAGTTTCTGAATGAGTAATGAATAAAAAATTTTTAATGCTTTTTTATCAATGATTTTCTTTAGTTTTTTATTGTTTCAAAATCAGTACTTACTCTTATTATAACTACCTATTGTTAAAAGTAATTACACGTTCGTAATTTGATTTTTATACATTGAAATTTCTCGAATAATATTCTGCTATTGAATATTAAATTATAAATGTATTGAATAAATAGAAAAATCAAAATAACAACGATAAGAAATACTAAAAATACCTATCATATTTTATTAAAAATTGATGTTTAGTTACAACTTTAAATTATTTATATTGTTTATGGATTCTTGATGTATTTGTTGTGAGTTTGATGTAGTGGTTTTAGCTGCATTATTATTTTAATTTTTGGAGATTATATGATTAATCGTACTAATATTAAATTAATCGCCTAGAATAAATCGCGAATAACTTTTAAAGGAATTGAGCACAAAGTAAATCGCAAATAACTTTTGAAAGGATTGAGCACAAACGAATGCCCCGGGTTTGAATCCAAAATTTCAAATGGATGGTGCCGGAGACATGTACTTGTGTATGTCAGGTTATTTAATATAGAAATGAACGCATGAGCGGCGAACGCATTATTTTCGATCTTGAAATACACACAAGTACCTAAAAATTATATTATGTAATCGTAAAATTCCGTTGGAAATATTTATATTCACTTAGAACTGTAGAAATTAATGTAAATAATATCGACGAGAAATTTAAAATATATTTAAATGCATATAGCAGCGAAATCACAAAATATTTCCACTAGGGTTTCAAAAATAATTTCAGATTCAGATAATATATTGAATCCTGAATATAGTATAAGACCTTAGGTACTGGATCTTTTTCACATACTTTTTTTTCTACATTTTTAATTTTACAATCTAGAACAATTTATTTTCAATAAGTAGAATTGATAATAATAGTTTAATTAACATTAAAATTTAATAATTAATAAAATTAAAATGTAATAATTTACTAATTTACTATAGAGCATGATTGGCTTGAGTTAAGAAGTCACCTAGTGGTAAAACCAAAAGCTAAAATTTGGATATCTTTTTAATTAGTCTATTTATGTATACACGTTTAAATTTGTTATAAGTTACTCAAACAGAATAGATCTTATCCCATTATTTCCAACTTTATTAGGTAACCTAAATCAAAAATCATATTTAAATTCTTCTGCATATTATATATACATATTTTTAAAATCAATCATTTTATAGATAATATTTTTTCTAATCATAATTGCAGGTATTTCTTTAAGTTACAATCAGTATAAACAATAGCAATGTTGAATATAAAATAATACCAAGTCTTGACCAATATGGTTTTCTACATAATGCTATGCATTTTGATCATTTTTTTTTTTTTTTTGTGATTTCAATAAGATATAAATATTATTAACAAAACTTATAAATGTTTAGAAAAATTTCAATTACAATTTATTTTTCCATTCAAAATATTTAAGATATTTATATTAATATTTAAGCATGGAACACATATTTTTTTAACACAGTTATACAAATGTTGAATAATTAATATAATAAAATTTCAGTTTGTACTAAATGATTGATGACTTCAGAGTTTATTTGAAATGGTACACGACCTGTAAACGATGTGATGGCTTTTGCTCTTTCCCTGATGTATTCTAAGTGTGCCTGTCTTTGTTCTGGATTCCTAGAATTTTTGTTTGATTCTTCTTCCCTCTTAATTTCACTATATTGTGAGTACAACATGTTCATTGAGGCTGTCAACACTCCAGGAATAATTCTTAATATTAATTCATCGTACTTTTTGAAAGCACTTAACCGTTCTTCTACTTGATCAACAGACAGTGGTATCAAACCAATTGTTTGTAGGATATCAAAAGCCAATGTGTATTTGTGATTATTGTAACGTTCAAAAAATACAAAAATACTTTTTAACATGTTAAAAGTGAAAATTGCTTCTTCGGATGCATTGATTTCTACTCCGTTTAACCGCTGACTCAGTTGTTCGGCAAATTCGAAAACTTTATTTTTCAAGTTGGGAGTTTTATCTAGTGGTGTGAAGGTATCTGGTTGAATGACCCGGCTCAACAAAATATTTGCTAATTCAATTACTTTGTCATATTGATTTACCAATTCGTACAATTTAGCTGATATTTCAAGATCACATTTTTGTTCTGCAAGTATAGCTGCTTTTTTAATAACCTCCATTTTCACTAAATCCGATACAATAAACGAATCCAAAATACCATTTTGTTTACTACCATCTGGCTTCAGATATCCAAAAACTTTGTTATATTCCTCAGTTTCTATTACTAGACCAGCAACGAATGAAACAAAAAGTGTAGTACCTTCATATTCAGTATGTCTTAGGCAATAGTAGTAGTTAATAGCCATTTTAAGGTCTTGATTTTCAAACTTGGCGCAGTATATTTTCATTATTCTGGCTAAATTTAATCTGTCTATTTTGTTATCATCTTTAGATAAAATTGGTTGATCAACATCATCAGACAAATACAGTAAGCCCATTTCATTTAAAGCTATAGCTATATGTATAGCATGGGAACGAAGTTTAGGGTGACGAAATATAAACTGAATAGCTGATTCAAATTGACCAGTCAAGAATAGCAATTGGAAATATGACATAGGCTGAACATCACTGAATTGGTCTTTGTATTCTTCATAAATCATTGTTTGAAGCATGGAATACGTAAGTTTATCTTGACTGTTTCTGACTTGACAAAGTTTTAACCATAGGTAATCATCTGCAGTCTTAATCACATCTGAATGTTTACTTGTTACATCAATAGCAGCAACTAATGAATAAACTACTCTTTTGAACGGATCGTTGGAATCCCATGCCATTGATGAATTGAATCCTTGATCACTAAGATTTATGTAATCATGATTGTTTTTAATGCTATTAAAAATGCTCAATAATACTGGATCTAGGTTATTTTTTTCTAAAATACGAACTACAGATTCTAAATCACCACAACGAATCAAATAGTACACTAATGGCCAAAAAGGAAGATTTTCATAAAATAGCTGATCAGGATTATTGTACTGATTGATGTAGACACTCACAAAACTACGTACAAGTGGATATGTACCTGGAATACCACCTACTTTTGCTTTGGATAAATGGCTTTTTATATAGTTTTTCATAAATACAATATACCTTTGTTCTAAATAAGACCTGGCATTTTTAATCATAATGTTTTGATTGATTATTGAGCCCCTCACAAATTTGGAACTATGTTCAGGTACAATTTGACTCATGCACTTTACTATCTTCCACATTTCACTCACACGATCATCGTGAGCAATTTCTGAAGCCGCTTTGAAGGACTGCAAAATGTCAGTTTGAATACCATGGTTTTCTACATGTTGGTTGTATTCGCATAGATGTTTAGCATATGTCAGTTCGTTTTGATCCAATTGAGCATTCAGACCGAAATTGGTCGAGTTGAATTTGGTAATGGAAGGCATTGTATTGGAACCAGGACTGGAAGAGTTTGGCACGTATCCTGGAAACGAGTTGATGATGTTGATTTTTTTGTTCCTCCAATTCTTTATTGTGGTATCGTTCTGTCTCCTGTCTATTAAGTTTTCGTTGCTCTTTTTGACAGACTCTATAAGGCTGAGTATGGCATTCTGCACTTCATTCTTCACGAAGCTGTCCACGTCCATGTCGGGCTTCGGGTCCAATGTGTCCAGCGAAGCCATCGAACTCAGCCGCTCCAACTGTTTGGGCACCTGCGGAGCGTCTACACCGCGACTGCAGAAGAACACATTGCCTTTGGCCTCGACGCCCGGGACACCGACTTTTGTCCACAAGTTTTCCGCAGCGTCCAATAGCTGGCGGATGTTACGAGTGACACTCGGCATTCCGGTGTCGGTGATCGCGTTCGCCTGCAACTTCTCGGCCGTCATCATGATGGAACTCCAATCAGTGCTCTCGGCCATGTTTAAGAGTCGGCTGTCACTTGACAAAATTCATAAAAATTAACCGTGACGCGATCCCATCAACCGATATGTTTGTTGATGTTAACGGCGACGACGATGATAGTGCACGGGAATGGATTGAGGTTAGAATTTCGTACGAAAGTCGTTTTATCACGATCATTCGAACGATAATAATTGTAATTAATTGATCGCAACGCCGGACCCCAATTGTTTTCGATTAGAATTTCACACTAAATCGTTTGGTAATTTTCCCGATAGAAACGGGAACAGCAAAATGTACTCTCTTAATGTTTTTTACAAGAGAAATCGTTAATTCAAACCATTATCTTTTTGGCGTTGTTGATAAATTGATAGCGAGTATTTGATATCACGAACATAATGCGCGCGAACACGAATAATTTTTTTTTCTCGGGTACGTTGTGGACAATCGTCTGTGAATTGTAAACACTATTTGTTAATACGTCCGGTTTTGACAACTTAAGTTGTGTTTAAAATCTTAAACGTCCGCCGTCAGTAAATGATATTTTTAATCGTGTCTACATTGAACATAGATTGGTTTGGCGATAATTTTAAATCGTGTTTGGAAACGCTTACGTTACAATCGCCCGTTTTGATTTGCGCGTATTTAACGAGAAAAATATTATCATTATGTCTTCAACTGAACCCAGCCCGCAACACATATCCGCACTCAGAAAATATTTCGGTCATTCTAATTTTCGATCTATGCAATGGGAAATCATACATTCTGTTTTAGAAGTTAGACTCGTGTTCTCTAATGTATTATACTATGTATTGTGTTTTTTTTCTTTTTCTTTTCTGTTTTTCAGGAAAAAAGAGATGCTTGCGTGGTTATGTCTACTGGTTATGGCAAAAGCCTTTGTTACCAATATCCAGCTGTTTACACTAAAGGACTAACCATTGTTGTTTCCCCTTTAATATCATTAATGAAGGATCAAGTACTCTCTCTAGAGGTTTGGACCTATTTTGTTAAATAATTCAGGACCAATCACATACATGTAGTCGTATTACATTTCTAACATGTTTTATCTGAAGCACAGCTACCTAAATCTAGTTTGTCATTTTGAAAATTTCTTACATCTATTTAATTAAAACAATAAAAACAGATTTATTTATAACTTTTAGATTAGTAAATTATTTTTTTTAAAAAAAAAAATAATAAATCTATTATTTATTTTTACAATATATTATAGAAAATGAAATTATCATACTTTATAATATAATCTAAACGCATAATGTAAAAACTACCATATTACTGAGTCAAGTATTCTGTAATAATACATTTTTATTTTTATTATTTATGTAGTCTTAATAATTATTATATGATAAGGTTTTGTTAATAATTAATTATAATTTTAAATTTTATATTAGATGGCCAATATTAAAGCATGTCTGCTAGGTTCAGCACAGGCATCTAAAGCTGATGCCTTAAGTGGCCTTTTTTCTGGAGAAGTAAGAGTATTGTATATTACTCCAGAATGGATCGCCACTGAATCAGCTAAACAGATTTTACATGATTTACAAACAAAAATTAAAATAGTTGCTGTTGCTATCGATGAAGCGCACTGTGTTAGTCAATGGGGTTTTGATTTCCGTTCTTCATACAGGTTAGTAGAAATATTGTATTTGTATATAAATTATAATTCATGTATGTTTATTCAATAGAAATTTAGGAAAACTTCGCGATATATTACCTAGTGTTCCAATTTTAGCATTAACTGCAACTGCAACACCAATAGTACGCAAAGACATTTGCACTTCATTGAATCTCAAGTATGATTTAATTACTAAATTTATGTAATATGTGTATCATAGTTTCTGTCCTATATTGTTGTTTTTTTAAAAATATTTTAATTACACCACAAATTTTAATAAGTGTTTATTTAATTAAAATAAATTTGTTACACAAGAAGTCATTAAATATTTATAAATATTTCTGTATTTTGTTTAATTAGGAAATTTTAATAAAATTTCAGTTATAATTTGCATTTGCATTGATGGGTGTAGAAAGGTTTTTGAAACAAATATAGTAATTTGTTGTAATTATTTTTTTATAATTATTTTATTAAAAAAATAACTAAATAGGATAGGAATGGATATAAATTAACTATTTTCTGAATAACATAATTAAAAAATTATTTCTATAAATATTGACTTAGAAACCCAAAATATGTTTGTACGGGATTTGATAGAACAAATTTATACTTTGAAGTATCAAAAAAAACTAGTAGTATATTTCTTGACTTGAATAAATACATGAAAAAGAGTGGATTAAAAATATCTTTTGAAGGAGCAACAATTATTTATTGTCCTACAAAAAAACAAACTGAAGCAGTTGCACAGGAATTAAGATGTTTGTAAAATATTACTTTTAAATTATATTACTTATGTGATGTTAAGAATATTATTTAATTTTAGCTAATAGAATAGAATGTGAGGTTTATCATGCTGACATTCCATTGAAGAAAAGAAATGCTGTTCACGAAAATTTTGTAAAAGATAATTTACAAATTGTTGTTGCTACAGTGGCTTTTGGAATGGGAATTGATAAGCCAGGTGATTATTTTGTTTACTTTATATAAATTGTTTTATTAAATAATGGATTGTTATAATTTAATATTTACTAATTAATATACCGTTAGGAATTAAAGTGAGATAATTTTATTTGTTCATTAGATGTACGTCAAGTTATTCATTACGGAGCTCCTAAAGATATTGAATCATATTATCAAGAAGTTGGTCGAGCTGGACGTGATGGCTTGCCTGCAAGATGTCATGTATTCTACAATCAGGCTGATATTGTTCTTAATAGAAATATTATGCTTTCTAGCCTTACAAACGACACATACCGTGCGCATAAAGAAAAAATGGCCAAAGTCATTGAACAATATATGGAGACTAGGTGGTGTAGACGTCAACTATTATTATCCTACTTTGAAGATAATTCACTGTCAACAGCTAATGGTTCTAATAGTAAAAAAAATTGCTGTGATAATTGTACTTATAAGTATGATATTTTAAAAATACATTTTATATGCAGGGGTCGGCAATTTATTTCTATGGCGGTCCAGATAATTTAAAAAAAATATTTGGAGGGCCAGAAAAAACAGATGTAATTATATCAATAATGTATTTATTTTTGTAATAAAAAAACATTATATTATTAATTATTAATTAATAATTGTTAATAATAATATTAATAATATTAATATAATAATAATAATAATAATATTATTATTTATATTTATATTATTATTAATTATTTATAAAGTAAATATAAATTCATACTAATAATAACAAAATTGTATACATAAGTTTAATGAAAGAAATGACATTTCTTTTCTTGAGCATCTTTAAAACCTGATACTCTTGGAGAAAAAATGATGTGCAATATGTTTTCAAAGTGTTCATCAGTTATTAATCTTGAACAATATTTATTTTTTAAAAACGTCATTTTGGAGAACAAAGTTTCACATATATATGTGGAGCCAAACAGTAGCTAATTGTATGGCCAGTGTTTTACAGTTCATGTATTTTTCTTAGACATACTTTATCCAAAAATCTTCAGTAGACAAACTGTTGTTCATTTGCAATGAGATATTTTCTTACAATTTAATACTAACAAAATATTTTTGGTTATCTCCCTTCCGCAGGCCATCTATTACCAACCCCTGTCTTATATGTATTCTAATTTGTCATTTGAAATTAACACATATTTTTATTTATATTTCAGCTTAATGACTAATAATTTACAACCTGATAATAATGTGGATTTGCTTGAAGATGTACAATTAGTTTTAAAATGTGCCCAAGCATTAGGTGGTTATTATGGACTTTTGACTTTAGTAGATTTCATTTGTGGTAAAAGAAACAAAAAATTTTATGAACGCCATTTGAATCATATGCTATTTGGAACAGGAAAATATAATACAGAAACATATTGGAAAACATTAAGTAAATATATGAATGTAACAACATGCGAATTGATTGAAAAAAATACTATTTTTTAGTTCATTGAACACATAATAATTATATTATTATTTATTACTTAGGTAAATTATGTTTGAGAGAAAGTTTGTTACAACAAAAACCATGTAATTCATTTCAGCAAGGCACTAAATTTTCTTTCCCAATCAGCACAGTATCTGTTTCAACCAAAGGATACGAGTTCATAGAACAGTAATAAATAAATTAAAAACTTAGTAAATTGAGTTTGGAGTGTAAATAATATTTTATAATTTATGTTTTCAGTGGGTACGAGTCAGGTATTAAAATTGACCCATCTTTGGATGTTTTAAAATTGTTCAAATCCAAGTCTGCTGATAAGTAATGCAAATAATATGTAAACACACTTGTTCTATTGTTTTTAAATGTATTAATTTTTGTAGATGTGTTAATAAGGTGATTGGTACCTTAGACTTGAAATTAAAGTATTCTCAGGATCCAGTATCATTATTAACACAAAATAATACAAATAGTGGTCCTGAACAAAAAATTGAAAACACAGATCTTGAAGTAAATATTAAAATAAGGTGTGAAATACATAATTTTCACTACATAATATTTTGTAGAATACTATTTATTCAACACTGGTGACGTATAGAATTATATTGGCTCAACAATCAGATTGTATGCCGTATATGATTGCTAGCAACAAAATGTTAATTGATGTGGCAAAATTGAAACCAAAAGATATGTCTGAATTGAAAAATGGTAAATTGTTATAAATAATTTGTATTGTATTATGTTTGTATATTAATTGGTCCGTTTTCGGTCATAGTCGAAGGTTTTACAGAAGCCAAAATTGAACGTTTCGGTCAAGCAATAGTGAGTAAAGTTATAGAAGTTTGTAGTAAACATTCAGTTGATATCAAGGCTAATGAAAATATGAAGACATGTGATTCTAAGTAAATTTTATCTTTATTTTTCAATATGAAACAATTTTTCTATGAGAAAATTGTTTATAATTCTTTTGTTTTACTAGTAACACAAATGCTAATGACAGTGAAAGTTTATGGGATGACTGTGATGATTCTATCTTTAGCGAAATATGTGATACAGATATAATAGAAAAAGTTGATAATAACGTTAGCGTCGGACAGACAAATGTGATAAATGATAGTAATATTTTAAAAAATACTGAAAGCACATTTAAAAGAAAATATGGTGCCATTGAATCTAAATTATCAGACCAAGAAAAAGTAAAAGAACACAAACAAATTATGATGAAAAAACTGAAAAATAATTCTCTGTTCAAATTTTAAGACTAGAATATTCAAATTATTTATAAGGCAGTTGGTCTGTTAATATTTAATTTAGTTTATTATTTAAATGGTAAATTGTTTCCTTACTTTATCCTTATATTAAGTGTACATTTTTTTAAAAACAATCGATGATTAAGTTTTTCTAGTTCAAATAATTATTTGTTTTGTTTACATGAGTGTATATAAAATTATTGTGTTCTTCATTGAATTTTTATTGATTAATTGTACTTCATAACTCAATAATCATTAAAAAATGTTTTATAAAATTATGAAATTTTATTTTTATCTTATCAGTTAGTTACTAAAACAGTTTTGAAAAAGAAAATTAATCATTTAAATAGGATCTGTGGCATGCACTGATTTCTCATTTGGATATTCACAAAGCTCGAACCAACCTACCATTTAATAATCTAAGCAGCTAATAATATATGTTTAATCAGAATACATATATATTTATTTTAAATCCACTCTGTTATAATATTTTAGGATATTGATTACAAACATTTGCAGTACAATGTGATCTAATCTGTTACTATAGATTTTTATGACTTCATATTTCTATTTTCTAATATAAAATGGAGTTCAGGAACAGTATGTGAAATTTGTTGTAAATTACCTTTTTTGACATTGCCCAAAATATATTTTTCATATTTTAAATGTTAACTTTAAAGCTTGAATGTACATACCTTATTTCGTCCAGGTGGCTGAGATATAAGATTAATATAACTTGTAGTTATAGTTTAAATAAACTATTTTGACATTTGATAATGTATATTACTCAACGACTCAATCTTATCAGGGTTTTTCAACATTGTATAATGCACATAGTTATAATACGATGTAAATGATAATGTTTGTATCATGTAAAATTGTAGAAATTATTTATTTATACAAACATATAATTTTGTCAAACAACTTTAATGACAAACATTTCATTATTGTTATAAGATGACTAAATTATAAAAAAAAAAAAAACTGTTGAATGTTTAATTAAAATCTATTCTCAGGCTGACAGGAGTATAACTTGAGGCTCTGAGATTTTTTTTCACAGTATGGGTCTTTGGATCTTACATTTCTGCCAGTCGATTTTCATAAAATGTTATTCTGAAGGAATACAGTTTATAATTACATATAAATGAACAAATACTTACATTCAATAGTTTTCATAACAATTTAAATAAGGATGGACGTATAGGGGACATGATCTGGAAGACATTTCGACCATTCACATTGGTAATTGTATAGATTCAACATAAATACACATGTGGCATGTTATAGTATGTACATAAAAATATATATTTAATAAAATGAAGAATTGTTCAAATATTCATAGATAAAAAAAAACAAACAGCTTAAAATGTTGAACATAAATTAATTTCTATGCTATAAATAACAATATAAGGCACTATACTCATGTACGATAAAATGATCAAATAAATAATTAAAATAATTATAATGTTATTACTATTCATATACACATTAAGTATAGTGTACAATGATACTTGTTTATAATTTAAAACATCTTAATTCATAAAATTCACAGGATAACAAAAATGTAATTAAAAATTAGGGCATACACCTATTTTTAACTTTGAAAAAAAAACATTTTAAACATAAGAATCAAACATAACATGGACTCAAATTTAAAAAATAATAAAGTAGTTTTTCTCTATTCACTAGTTATAATAGTGTACATCATAAAATAAAATAATATCGTATCGACGATGATAATAATAAAAATAATAATATTAATAATATAAATATTAAGTAATGCCATAACTATTCAATAATGTAAAATACGAGTGTGTATATATATGTATAAAAGAAACGCCAATTAGTATTGGTTCACGGACGAGAAGTGAAGTATACGAAAATCCGAGTAATATCGCGGATCATAAGATCACGGTGCAGTAAATACGTTTGATTGATGGTAAAATACGATATCGTCGGAACGTGTAACATCGGTTCTCTCGCGGACCAATATTACAACACGTGGTGGTAAAGAGACAACGGCTGTGAAAGCGTTCGTATAGGAAAGGGAATTTTCGCGAGTGAGAACCCGTACGAAATTAACGATCGGTTAGAAGAAAAAAAAAGGTAGAACGATTTAAACAATATCAGGCGACAATAACGTGTACGGAACATTAATCGTCCGCGTTGAAGCCTCCTACCGAAAAACGCGTGTTCGTCCTACAGAGTGTTCGCGACACTCGACGTAAGTATAACAATGGCACACCGACTTAACACGTAAAATAACGTACACACGGGTTTGCGGCGATCGATACGAGACACAACACGAACAATTATAACAATTATAAAAATATTCACAATCATAATACAACGTGTACCGCTCCTCAGTCCCACGTGCAGCGAAAGAACGTTGTTGTTATTCAAATCGATCAAACATAATGTTTAATACTACACAATAAACGCAGTCGAGAACTGTTGAAATCCGCCTACATGGCATTTCAAAATTCGAATTCCGGAAACTTTAATATCAGAGAAATGAAACAAAAAATTAAAAAATACGTTCGTCGCGCATGCCGGGGGACGATATTACAGACATTGTAATCCTAAGTACCTGTATTGGAGATGTTTGGGAGTTCGAGATGGTTTTGGGTTTGGTTGTTTACCATCCTCAAAACGTGGCCACTCGAAGGAAGTAAGGAATTTTGAGCGTGTCGTTGTAACCGATATTTAATGGTTTATTATTATTATTTTTTTTTTTCGCGTATAAAAATAGTGTATCGCATTGTACTTACGAGTACAATTGATAACAAAACACTGACGATCGTCGATGGGTAGAGGTTAGATAATATTATATAATATACGTATTCACAGGTTGGTGGCCTTTTTCTTTCGGAAAAGGCTGGACAGAACGCTCGACCGCTTGTCCTTGCGGCCAATCGGCGTCTGGTGTTCGCTCTCACTGGAACTTTCGCTGGCTCGCTGACCACTGGTCACCGGCAACGTAGCCGATCTGTTCGGCACCGGGGGTGGTGGTTGTTTGAGCGCGTCGACGTTCGCGTACACTGCAGGACAAAAAAAAATCGGTTATGAGTTATTGGCGTTGGTACCAGTGCCGAATCCAGGATTTTATTTGGAGGGGGGGTTTGAAAATATTTTCCCTTGATAATGAATATTATTGATTTTTAATACATATTTTTCCTATTAACTCTCCTCCTTTCCCTCCCGTGGAACCGCCAATGGTTGGTACCATGGTACTTAATCATAAAAACGAATTGATTTTAACGTAGATATTATTCATCGTAGCAATATATACTTTGTATTGAAATAGCTAATACGACGTAAAAAGTTAGCGACTCCGAAAACCCACACTATTCGAGTAGTGATTGTGACGAAATTGGAAAACTCGAAATTTTTTATTTAATTACATTGTAGTTTCGTTAGTTTCAACAGTTTATCGATTATACCTTTAATTATTCGCAACAATCGAAAATGACACCGCACTCAATATTTTACATTAGATGGTTTTGTGCATTTTTTTTCATAGTTTAATTTTACTGGTGTTCAATGGCTTTCGATTTATCAGTAATTACTGTGTAAATATTACACGTTGAGTTATAGATTACTCTTAGTGGAAAATGATATGCTACTCGCCCACATGATCACCAAAAAATCACGATCAGTGATTGCGGAGAAAATTTAGCCAAAAATATACACAATGAGTTTTATTTTTTTATTAACAAATATTGATTAATGAGTGAACGAGACGTATAAGTTGAGAAAACAGAATACGTATGGAGTATAAAAGAACTGTCAACACCTGTAAATGGGAGTTTTAATTGAAGTGCTATTGCGTATATTTGCAAGCCCTAAGGTTAATTATGACATAAACAATAAGTATAAATTGAGTGTTTTCGCTTTTATCGTATTCTAAAGTCATCTAGGACATTTTTTACCATAAAACATTCCAGAACGTCGATGGGTGCATTGCTGTGTATGTATAAAGGATACCCATATATCTAACGGCATTGTGTGGTTTACTTAAATAATTGCAAAAGAAAACCCGAATAAATAATTGATAGCCGTATTTTGTATGTGACAATTCAATGATGTTTTTTGAATCTAATTGTACTTTTTGGAGTCTTGAAATTCAAAATGATATACGTATGTATAAAAATAACAAATGAGAGTTCAAGAATGGAAAGAATTAGCACAGAATCGAGTGAAATGAAGGGATTTAGTGATGGCGGCAAAAACTCTTAGACAATATTAAGAGTCAGAAGAAGAAGAAACCATACCAACTAGGATTTATGATGGGAGGGAGATAAAATTTAAGTCGAGGGCTTAGCCCCCCCTTCTAATTACGCCCATGAGTATTAAGCATACTATAGGGAATAATACTAACCGGCACTGTGTCTATAGTCTGAAGTCCACGTGTCTCTGTTGGCCGATTTCACCGGTGGAGCCGTGGTGGGCAATGGTGGCGGGGCAACATCTACAAAATAAAAAAAAAATCATAAAATCAACTTTCCGAAGGCCAACGCGTCGTTGTTAAATAAATATAATATAATAAATCATAATAATAACAAAAACACCGCCTAGACGGGTTTTCATTAACGCACCTGGTGACTTGGGGTGGATCGCTTCTTTGTTCCAATCGTTATTTCCGTTCGAGTAATAGGAATGCGGCCGTGCGGGGTATCCGGATTGTGAAATTTTGGAATTGAAATCCGTGGAGTCTGAAAAATATAATTAAACGCGTTACCTAAACATTATGCGCGTAAAATAATAATTTAGTCCCGCGTGACGAAAATTGGCCTTAATAAACGTCTATAGTTGAAAAAACAAAATTGTGTAGTACACAAAGTACGGAATAGAATGGTAAAATATACTGCAAGGACATGCAGTATAAAGTGCATAAAGCGCTCAATCTGGGTTGAGCGTGTCGAGTACAATTTTAATTCTCGACAGACTTAACTGAGTTAGGAATTAGTAAAAAATTGATTATCCGGGTTCGACGTTGAACCCTCGCTAAATGATCAGCTTTTCAAATCGTATACTAGTATTCCACAAATAGATGTGTCACGTTTGACTATAGACAAATAATACATGATACGTTTAGTTGTTGACTATTGGATACCGGTCGGATTTTAATCAACCCTGTGTGATGTATGCTGCAGAATAAGATGTATTTTAATTTTTGAAACAAACGTAACAAATATCGCAAGTCCAAAGAAAAATTTTCTTTTATGGAAGTTAAACCTATGTAATATCGTAAGACCAATACTCTCTCGAACTTCAAACACCAAACCCTAGTTTGTGCAATGTTAATGAAATGACTTATGTCGATTAGTAGTTGACATGTAGCACGATGACTTGCAGACGCTAACAAGTCCTCTACTCCGTCCTTTACGGTCCGTGCTTCGAGTCAAGTTTTTTGGCTAGAATATCAACAAGCAACCGTTCACTTACCGACGGCCGAGTGATTATTTTGGTATGGTATGTTGTCCACCGAAGGCGGTCGTACAGGTATGGGCCGACGGATTTGACCGTCTTTCCGGACGTTTACGGCTGGCGGTGGCGGCGGCGGAGCCATGGGCTTACGCTCGGTTTCCGGCGTTGTAGCCGCGCTCGAACTCGTGCTTATGACCGTCGACGGAACCGGGGTTTGGTCGGACCTGGGCGAACCCTGCGATTGAAAAAGCGAAACGCCATCAGAATATTTTATATCATTTTTGTATGAACACGCGGTGATAGTAATTACTTAAGGATATTGTGCTCACACGCGTGTGCTCGGGCAGCCCTCAAAATGTAAACAGGACCTCGGAATTTAAGTCAAAGAGTAAGGGACCAGTATTTTAACCGATGTTTTTCAAATTTAAAGTAATTTATTGTAAACATTTTGGTAAAATAAATGATTATTTGTAATAGATAAAATAAAACTAATTGTTCTAAATTTTCGTGCAATAATTCGTTATGATAATTTAACAGCTACAATTGACTATAAATCATAAATAATAGAAACTACAAAAGAAAAATATACGAGATTTGAGGAAAACATATTCATTGGTACTTATATACTGCAATATTAAATAAAACATTAAAGTTTTTTTAAAGTTTTATTTACATGTGTATACATTATAATTTATTAAAAATACAAACACGTTTTCTTAAGATAGGTGCAAAAGTATGGTATGCACATTTTGAAATACAAGTCTGCGCACGTCGATAATTCTACTAACACAATTTGTTTATATGCGATTAACGGTAATCATACAATACTATATAATATATAATAGTATATATGATGTTAGTCAGTGGCACTGAAATTTATGTTTAAATGTACCTAACCCACTCACTCATCAACAAAAATTATCTAAAAATGATCTACTTAATGTACACAATTTATTGTGTGGCAACCACCATACATCAACATGGACTTCGGCATCACTGATGTTAGTTATAATGCAGACTCCTCCTTATAATTTGTGTTATACCTATACGTTTTTTACGTTAATTATTAATTCTAATATAAACTCATATTGTAATATTTAAGCACATTGCTATACTTTGTAATAAGGGCTTCAGTCCGTAAATGTATTTAAAATTAAATTAAAATAATAACCTTGCATACACCTACGGTTACGTTTTGTTACATTATTGGTAAATATATTTATACATACTTTTTGGTTGTCATCGTAACTTAGAAGTTGAAGGCTGGGAGGTAGTTGCGCGTGGAAAGTGATCTTGTTGACCCATTCTTCCATTTCTTTGGACGTGTCCGCTAGGAAGAGAAATTCGGAACCATCTGTACAGCAAAGCCTATTGATAAACATAAAATACAAATTAATTATTATTCATTTCGCTTCGTTATCAAACATATATCAATACATCTCAGAATATGACAATATTACACGTAGCTCTAGATATTACCTGAACACATGTTTCCGTTTCGTGTAGTCGAACGCTTTTTCGCATTTCGCTTTGAATATAATTATTGGCGACGTCGCCGCTTTGCTGGATACAAAATCTTCCTGGTCTTTGAAGAAACACAACAGCTGACCACATAATACTGCAAACGCCACATGATTATGGTATATATATATATATATAAATTTATAATATATTATAACTATAATATATTTATAATATAAATTTAAAAAACTGTCATCTCCATTCGATTTAATTCATATAGTGCTTACCGGTGTAAAAAGTCTTCCACGACCTAACGGCCGCCTTCTTCCCGCTGCTTTGTAATTCATGCTTTCTGTCCAAGAACCCTTGGATTTCTACCGGCGGCAATTGGTCCACGTTTTCTAATTTCTGGAGCTTACGGAAGCTCTGCGTTCTCCTGCGAGTAGTGAAACTAGGTGTTCGCTTTGGTTTCTTGTACGCGTCCGCTTTCATACTTTCGGCCCGTTTTACGTCTATATTAAAAAATATTGTTAAATTTTCCTCTCCAATTAATAAATGGGTTATGCCACAATTATAAACATATGTGAACGGATATTACGGTACCGTTAAAATTACCTTTTTTCAAACGATTTCCGAATATTGACGAAAAATTGCCAGTATTGTTTAAAGCCGGCGATCCGGGCACCATGAGTCTATAAAATACATTTTCCATGTAATCGTTAAGATAACTAAATTGTTCAACATAAAGTATTTATGTATTTATATATGAAAACAATCATTTTATAAGCATTAGTAGCGTTAGATATGAGCAAATTAACTTACGTATCCGAATCATTGGCTTTAGATGAAGAATTTGTGGCTTTTAACACTTCAGGTAACCTCAATGGCGCTACTACATCGTTTTCATGCGTAATATTTTTATCATGCATTCTTAAGCAAAAAAAAAAAAAAAAACAAGGCAATTCCATAAAAAAAACATAGAATATTTCGATTAATCTAAAGATTAACCGATTTACAAGTAATAACATCATAGCTATACATATTATAATGACGTAGGTAAGAGGGGTTGAGAAGGGTTAATTCTTCCCCATAGCAAAATCTCAGTAAATTAATAGGTAATACAAATAATTATTACCTATATATATGTATATATCTCAAACCTCTTGATAAATAATTTTTACCTACGCCATTGACATATAGTAGTACAACAAATTATAATAATTGTACACCTATATTTGTTAATATTTTAAAGTATTATTAAAATAAAAAGAAAACATTCCATGCGAATTTTCACCATAATTTTATAAAAAATATATTAGCCTAAACCATATCAAAAGCTATAAGAAAATACTGAATACACAATATACGAAGCGTACCTCATGTTTGGATCAAATTCATCATCATCGCCGTTCATCGTTTCACCAACATTATTAACTTTCCATCTATCGCCTTCTTTCTTTCTCTCCTGATAAATGAAAAATGTTAAAACTGAAAAAAGTTCATTTTTTTTTTTTTTATACTTACGTCTGTAATGCGTTGTACTTCACGTTGCTTACGAGCCTCAAGCCTTTCTTTTTCAAGACGTTCTTTTTCTGCCACCCGAGCTCTTTCTTCAGTCTCCAATTGTTCTTTGAATGCTAATTCCAGCTGCATAAATACATTCACATTATACACGTATAACAATATTATATACAATTTAAATGTTTCTGAATAATATGTTTCCTACCAAAGTGATTCTTTTCAGTGTATTGAACTTCTCTTCCTGTGCCTCAATGGTTTTTTCAAAGTCTTCGTGTTTTCTGATGAGTTCTTCAACTTGCCATATTGATTCACCTAGTTTATCATCGTTTAACACGGGTTCTCGAGTTTGTATCCATGATTCCAAAAGGTCAGCATCTCGTTTGAACAACTAAATAATACACGATGAAGTGTGTGTTAAAAATTAAACCGGTCTGAGACTTTTTCGGGCCAAGTACCTGCGTGTCTAAATTCTGGTCGTATAATATTTTACGCTTTTCCCAAGTATCAGTCATGAAATTATGCCTTTGTTCAAGAATATGAATCTTTTCTTTAATTTCGTCCGACATAAAATGACCCTAAAACCACATAAATTAGTGTCATACGAGTAGTTTAATTACTTCTACACAAACATGTTGAATGAGATTTTTTCCAGTTTGATAAAACTCTCCTAACACTTCGGATCGGCTGTTAATCTCAGCGTTATATTCTTGGTGACGTAATATTAGCATTTCTGCTCCACTCACATCTTGACTGAGTATTGGCGATGTGATTTTGGCAATGGTTTCGTTAATCCACGCACTGTATCATGTTAACACATTATATTTACATCCATGTTAGAATTTGTCTTATATAAATAAAATTTTAACTTACATTAAATGTCTATATTGGTCAAAGTAAGACTGCAAGTGTTCTGCTTGGTTCAGTTTGCTTTTTCTTTGACTTGCATTTTCAAGTAATGTGGTCCAAGCATCAACAGCTTCTTCTTGTTTAACTTCAATGTGATCTTTAGCGTCCGGAAACATGGCTGATAACCTACCAGCTTCTTGTACAACACATTCCACCTAAAAATAAAAATAATTAACAACATAAATAGAATTTTGTAATTTATTAAAATTACTTGTTCTTTGACTGCTGCAAGATCTGCTTCAAAGCCTTGGTGTTTTTGAATTAAAGTTTGTATAGTGTCTAAATCATGGCCATAATCTTCAGCCGCCAATAATGTTCCTTTTTCTTGAATCCAGCTGATAGTTTCATCAGCTGTTCGATCAAATACATGAACTTGTTTGGCTCCCATCAAAGCCTAACATCATATGAATATTTTTAAAACTTGAACTTTTGTAAAAACTGATTAATACTATACCTCTTGTCTAGCATTGGCCAACTCTTTCAAATCATCCCATAGTTGCTGTGTGTCTTCCAATCTAATTCTAATTTGGTCACGTTCAGGGTTATTTTCTTCAAGTAATTTATGACCGATACTAATGCAACTTGAGATACGTCCTTCACTACCATTTAAACCACTCATGAAACTTTCAAATGCCTAAAATGTACGTTACATTGATTATTGATATATAATTTATGATTTTAAAATTAATTACTTGAATTAGAAGTTCCACATGCTCAACATCTCGACCATAATCTTCTGAAGCAGCTACTGTTGTTTGATCTCCTATCCATTCGGCAACATCTTCTGCTTCCCGAATAAATTTATAAAATTTACGACTTTCTACTAATCTAGTGGCTCTTCTCTTATTTAAAGTACATAGTTCTGTATAAACTTCTTCAATATCAGTCTAAAACAAAACAAAACCATACAATTAAAATAAAATAAATTTTAAATCTATTTTTTATTAGTTTTACCTGTTTACGTAGAATATTTTCAGAATCAAAATGTGAACGATTTATCAGGTCTCTACTCATTTTTGCAAGTCTTTCAAGAGTATGTTGAAATGTGTTTAGTTCTCTTTCGATTCCTTCAAGTTTTTTCATTAAAGTCTGTACAGAATCTTCATCTCTTCCATAGTCATTAGACGCTAACAAAGGGTATTTTTCTTTTAACCAAACCTCAGCTTCATTAGCTTCTGCATAGAACTAAAAATTTTAATACAATTAATGATTCAAGTCAATATAAAGGGTGTTTAAATACTTACTAATTGTGATTCATATGCATCTAATAACTTTTGTTTTCTGATCTTGGATTGCTCTTTAAGTTGAGACATTTTTTCTTGAAGTAGACTGTAATTTATTTCAATTTGTTGAGCAGCAAAATGTCCACTACGAACCATTTGTTGTCCTCTGCCAACAAGAGCTGCGATTACTGGCTCGTGTGATATTAATTCAGCATCCAAAGCCTAAGAAAATAAATGCACGATAATTCAAAAATTACTTAATACATAACTGATAATTAGGATTCATAAATTTGTAATTTTGTTTGTAAATTGTATTTGTTTACAAAAATTTACATTAAATAAATTAATAAAAGAAAGTTTTTTTTAATATATTGTGGATGAATATTTTTTCTTTATGGATAATACTCGGTATGGTTAACTGAATAAGTAAAACAATTTAAATAAAATATTTTAAAATATTAAAAACAGGCTAAAAAGTTAAAATTGTTTTAAATATTTAAAATAAAAGTTTTCATTTTAAAATCAGAACTAACAAAACTAATTTAGAACTAAATAAATATTGGTTGAACAGTCCAAAAATATTGCATTTTGCATTCGAACCTTATTCCTACTTAAAATACAACATACCTGATGTTTATTTTGCAATGCTTGTACTGAGTGTGAGCTTGAACCAAAATCATTAGAGTTTATTAGTAGTTCTTTGTCATCAATCCAAGCCATTTCTTCTTCAATATCACGTAGTAGTCTATAATGGATTAAAGCATCTTCAAGATTATCCCTTCTTATTTGCATTGGCTCTTGAAGAGAGTAATATCTGTAAAATATTTTTATATAGTTTTTTATAGTATGTGATAGTAAATAAATTATTTTTTGATATACAAATATATACCTTTTAAGAACTGCCTGAGATTTTTCTTCTATCTCATCTTTCATAAAATGATCTGAATTTTGAAATGTCAGAGCAGTATCTTTAAGAGTTTGACATGCTTCACCATGACTGTGCACATCATTTTCCAACAGTGAATGTCTTTTTAATAGGTTCACAACACTTTGTAAATCTTTTCCGTGGTCTTCAGATTGTAATTGCATTTCTACTTCTTCTGTCCATGCTTCAAGTTCTTCTAATGTGCGGTTAAACAATAATGCCTATAAAAACAATATTAATATGATAATTAATGGTGGTCAATCATGTAAAATCAGTTGATAAAATTACTTGATAAGCATCTTGTAACCGTTGTTTCTTTAGCGCACTCATTTCTTGCAAGTTTCGCCACTTTGTTTCAAGTTCATCTAATCTAACTCGTATTTCCATACTTGCAAAGTGCCCACTACTAATCAAGTTTTCACCTTCAGTACAAATTGCATTAACCCGAGTACGGTTAGCGATTAGTTCTGAATCAAAAGTAGCATGTTTCTGAATTTTTCTTTGTAAATTTGTAGGATCCCTATAATTTTCATCTCCAGCTACTTGTTGTTTTTGGATTATCCATCCTTCTACCTATAATTGTATTTTTTTTATTAGATAATTAAATTTTCTATTATTTATAAAATTATTATCATTTTATTTACCTCATACATGTTTCTTAGGAACTGTTGCAAAAGCCTAGAATCGTTTAAACGTCTTTTGCGGGAAGCAGTAGCTTCTTTTAGTCTATCTCGTCTATTACATATGGTAATTAATCGACCTTGTATTCCATTGCTATCATAGTGTTGACCTGTAACGAGTTCCAAAGCATATTTTTCTAACTCTTCAACTTTGACTAGTTGAGCTGTCAATGTTTTCTCAAAAGCTTCATGTTTCCTTATTAACTCTTCAACGCTGGACAATGATTCCTAAATTTATTATTAAATTATTATTTTATTTTAAATGTATAAATAACTATTGTTATTAACTACTTACTCCAAGATCATCATTACTTAAAAATGCTTCTTTTGATGCTAACCAATTATCTACTTGATCAGCTTGGTTTTTAAATATTTGAAGTTCTAAAGCTTGACTTAACATCGTTCTTCTTTCTTCCCAAGCGGCACTTAATGTTCTGCGCAACTCATCGAGATGAGCAAGTTCTTTTTCAGGAATTGGATTAATTTTCAATCCAGATTCTTTCAATGTCTTAAAGTGTTCTTGGCGACCATTAATTTCAGCTTTTCTTTCTTGATTCAATTCCAATAAAGCTTTTGCTTCTGCCATATTTGTTGGCATGTCATGACCTTTAATTTTTTTAATTGAATCAACAACCCAAAGTTCCGCTTCTTTTAACTCTGATAAGAATTTTTCTCTAACATATGCCTCATTTAAGGCTTCACGACGTTTTTTTGATAACATATGTAAGTTCCTCCAGTTGTCTTGCAGTTCAGATAACTTAGCTTTGATAGGAGAAGACATATCTGGGTATTTCTGAATGAGCCTTCTACATTCGGATTCATGTTCTTTTGTTTTTCCTTCAATGGCTGTCATATCTCTTTCAAGAGCATCCTGCTTTCTTTGTAGTTGCTCAACACCTCCAAGGTTCTTACCAGTTTCATAAGTAGACATTGCTAGTGCTTTTTCACTAACCCTCTGCAAAGTATCATCAACATCTCGATTGAATGAATGTATTTCTAGAGCTCCGTTTAAATGTTCTCTGTATTCACTTAAGGCGCCTTGAAGTGCTTTCCACCTAACACAAATCAATTACTTATTAGATGTATGAAATGCAGATACATGCAAACATATATTCGTTAATTAATTTTCCATACTTATTATTTAGATTTTGTCGGCGTTGTTGTATTGATTGTGTGTCACTTCGACCTTGTCTTATGAGTTTGTCTGCTAAATTATTAATGCTTTCAATTTTTCCTTCATCCACTCGATTATCGATGTCTTCAAGTTTTCTTTGCAATGCTAAGCAATGTTCGTAATCTAATCCCATTTCTCCAGCTTGGACCATCATTTCCTACAACACAATTTTATATTAAATGGTTTTTATTCAGCCATAAACCAAAAACATACAATATTTTAATCTTACCTTATCTCTAATCCAGGCTTCTACTTTATCAACTTGATTATTAAATTCTAATATATCTTGAGCTTCTTCTAAGCCTCGGCCCTTTTCATTAGTTTCTTGTAACAGATTTCTCCATAAAACTAAAAGCTTGCCTAAAGAATCTTGAATATCTTTTGAGTTTTTGTGCTTTTTTTCAACCAACATATCAGCTATGAAAAAAAAAAAAATATTTATATATTTATGTATTTCATTTAGTACAAGAAAAATATTATTTTTAATTTATTAGCATACCATTATGTTTTATAGAATTAATTCTTCCTTGATTAGCTGTAAGTTCAGCTTGGAATGCTTGGTGTTTTTGCAATTTTTTTATTTTGTCTTCCAAGTTATTTACATCACCCTTACTAATTTCAACATCCAGCTTTTTCCGTTTTTCACTAATCCATGATTCGGCTTCTCCAACATCGCGTAGAAATTGAGCATGTAGCAAAGCATCATCTAACTTTTGCTTTCTTAAAACACTTAACTTCCGAATTTGTTTTCGTCTAGTTAAGACTTCATTTAATCTTCTAGATATCAGATCACTTTCAAAATGGTTTTGACTAAGTAGCTTATCACAGTGTTCTTGTAAAAGGGATATTTTTTCTTCTTGGGTTTCAAATAATTTTTCAAATCCTTCATGTTTTTTTACTAAGGTTGATACTTGATCAACAGTATTTCCTATAAATAAATAATAAATAAATAAACTGATAGAATATTTAAATGTATTTTTTATTGCTATTGCATTAATTATTCATTTTCATACAATGAAATATTATTGAAATTTACCATATTCTAAGCTGGCTAATGCTACTTCCTGTGTGTTGCAAATTGTATCAATTTGTTTTGCATCACGAAGAAAGAATTGTAAATCGATAAGCTGATCTAGATGAACTTTTTTATGATGCCAAGATGCATGTAATTGATGTCGCTCCTCCAATAAATGATTATGTTTTTCTTGAATTTCCTGAAAATATAATATAATTATAAAATATAGCATAAATATTAAGGAGTCATAATATATCTTACATTTGCTGCAAAATGACCACCTTGCACTAGAGCTTCTCCAAGATCAACAACAGTTTGAAAAGTTTCTTCTCTAGCTTCTATTTCAGCTTTTACAGCTTCATGTTCTCCTTTTAAAAGTTGAGCACTAGCTGCATCTCTTACTTTTTCTTCGGTTAGCATGGTAGCTCGCAAACTACTAGACCAATTGACTAGATCTCTAACCTAAAAAATTAAGTAATAATTTACTGTTCAAGAACTTTCAATTTCCAATATTAAAATAAATACATTTAATACAAATCAAATTTACTTGAGCTAAAAATCTATGCAAGTCACAGCTTGCTTGTAAAGCTTCACGCCTGTGAGCAGAGCGATCTTGAAGTGAAGTCCAGCTTTTGACGACAGTTTCTTGTTGCTTTGCAATATGAGAAGCATTTGACCCGGGGTAGAGAGTTTGTAATTTAACAGCGTCTTCCACTAAAATCTAAAATATAATTCTGATTTAAATAAACTATATACAAATATGTTCATTTATCTGATAATTTTTCTAAAATTTTTAAATAATATAAAATATAATATAATAATATAATACTGTTAATATAAAAGTGAAATCTTAAATTAATAATCATCCAATGTAACAATTAAATGATTAAGAAATACATTTTACAAAAATATTCCTTCCTTTAATAATGCTGATATGGAGTTGTAATAAATTGTATGTTAGTAAAACAAATATTATCAGGAATATTCAATCATTTTTAATAAACTATTTAAATATTAATGTTACTTTATTATTATTTTAAAATATTGAACACAGAGTTTTTTAATTTTAAAATTATAAAATAATTAACTCATGATAATATTTGCTTCAATATTGTGTGAGTTTACCTGAAGTTGTGCTTCTAGAGCAACAAGGTCGTTTTCAAATCCTTCATGTTTTCTGATTAAAGTTAGAACTGAATTTAAATCTCTTCCTAAATCATCAGAAATAGTTGCATCTTTATCATTAATTCGAGATAATGCATCAGCAACATCCCTATGGAATCTATGTATTTCGCCTGCTGCTTTCAGTCGTTTTTCTCGATTTTCAATTGTAACTATTAGCTGTTGCCAAAGCTCACTAATCTCTTCTTGCCGTTTTTCAATTTCAGATGTATATTCAGAATCATTGGCAACCAATTTATTAGCAAGATCTTCACACTGTTTAAACCTTTTAGATCCGGTTTCCACTCTGTGTTTGAGATCATCAAATTTGTTTTGTAACACCTAACATAAATTTATTATAAATGTAATTTTTTTTTTTTTTATACATTGGTGTTTTAGTATTTACATACCAGGAGATGTTCAAAATCTTGACCGTAATCTTCAGATGATGCAGCTTGCATATTATCCCTAATCCACTGTTCTAGTTCATAATTCTCCATTAAATATTCATGTCTAAAATAAGATTAAATAAATAGTACATAGATTTATGTAATGATATAATAGTTTATTACCTGCACATGCTTTCGACCAATCTATGTTGTCTTGCAGTAGCCAATTTTTGTAACAATTTAAACTGTTCACAAATATATTGTTGTTTAGACGAGATTGCTTTAATGTCTGGATGTTTCAAGTTCATCATATTATTTCCGGTGTGACACATTTCTTTGACAATACCTTCATATGTATCAATTTCTAGTTCTAAAGCCTATGACACGGAGTAAAGTTATAATCTGGATATTATATACAGTGTGAATTAAATATGTAAAGGTGTTACACGCACTTTATGTTTAGTGAGAAGTTTAGAGGCTGCATCTCTGTCTCGACCACAGTCTGTAGAAGACAACATGTTGTTCTTTTCAAGTAGCCAACTTTCAATTTCACTTGCTTCAAAGAAGAATTGTTGAGCTTTTAGGTTTAATTCAAGTTTGCGACTTCTATCTTCTACCTTATCTAAGAGATTTTTCCAAGCGTCTTCAAGCCCAGTACATAATGATGATACCTGAACAAATAATTATTAAGTTTTATTTTAATTTTTTCTAGTTAAAATCTAAATAATAAAAATATAATAGTTTATAGAACCTTTTTAGTTTCTGGATGTTTTTGATGAATCAATGATTGGCCTGACTCAAGGGTTTTATTGATCATTGGCTGATGACCTTGTATTTCTGCTTCTAGTTTTTTATGTTTTTTGTACAATGTTTGTACTTGGTGAAGATTAGTACCTAATTCAGTAGATTCGACCATAGGTAAATGTTCTCGTATCCAACTAAGTTCCGCCTCTAACTCAAAACCAAATTTATGAAAACGTAATGATTCATCCAGAGCTTCTTTTCTAAGCTTAAGTGGTTCGTTCAATCCATTAAACCTGAATATACATTATGATATATAAAACATATAACATACATATGTTACAGCACCACCATAAGAAAGAAAATTATTAATATACTTACATTTGTTGGCATTTTTTGCTAGATTGTAATATGTTGTCTGCATCAAAATGACCATCCTGAGCCATTTCTTCTCCAGCAAAAACTAAATCATCTATTTTTTGTTTCCAGTGTTGGATTTCAGTCTCTATTACTTGGTGATTTTTTATTAATTGTTTGCAATGTCTTAAATCAGTGCCTACTTGATGTGATTGTAGGTCTTTTTTTAATTCTTCATATTTTAAATTGGCATCATCCAAAGTTCTATTGTAAGTATGTTGAGCAGCTGCTTGTCTTAGACATTTACCTTTTTCCACACTAACTTCAACCAATTTTTTCCAATCATTGTTTAACTCTGACAATTGAGTTTTTACTTCATTCTTTTGATAATTGTCTTCATTTATCAAACTCTGACCACACTACAAAAGAAAATTATTATACATAAAAATTGCTACCAGAATATACAAATAGATAAGCTGGATAGTTTTAGTTTTAGTTTACTTTATTGATATTTCTTAGTTGACCCTCATTTGCACGTAGTTCGCATTCAAATGCTTCATGTTTTTGAAGTTTTCTTTCTATGTTTGTAAGATCTCTATATGATTCATCACTGGCAGTTTTCAGTTTATCTGTAAGCCAAGTTTTAAGATCATCTACATCTGCTCGGAACGCTTGGTAGTTTCTGCTAGCCACCAAGGCATTTCTCCTTACAGCCGCTTGGTCTTTTACCAAATTACGGCGATGCAAAACAGCTTCTTTACGTTTATCAACACTAAAAAAAAAAAAAAAAAATAATTTATATTAATATATATATATAAAAAAAAAAAATTATAAAGTATAATTTAATATTATTTTGGATATCAACTTACTGATTTTTATCATAATGATTAGTCGAAATAAGTTTGTTTGCCATTTCACAGAAAGTTTTTAATCTTTCATCTTGAGCATAAAGTGAATTTTCAAAATCTTCATGTCGTTTTAACAGCGCTTCAACATCATCAACAGACGCCTTTAAAAATAATAAAAATTAAAAATGCAGTCTATTTTATACATTACATTTTTCATTACTCCTAAATCAGTATACTCCAAAAACATTTCATTGCCTGAAGTAGCAGCATCAATATGATCTGCTTCTTTGTTAAATATTTGTAAGGCTAAACATTGTTGAATCCATTCTTTTTTCTGAGCCCATTCTTCTGTCACAGTATTCACTTCTGCTGTTAATTTATCATTTCGTTCTTTCACTTCATCACTGCTACAGTTACCAGAAGATAACAGTTGTCGGCCCAGTTCAGATACTTCTCTCACTTCATCTTGGTGTGCTTTGATATCATCACCAAGTTCCTAAGCAAATATACACTCATATTAAGAGTTTAATGATTAGAAAAATATTTAAAATATAAATACCTGATGGTTTTTAAGTAAATTTTCTGCTGTTACAACATCTCGAACAGAATTATCTATGTTTACCAATTCTTTTACGGATGACAACCAGTTTAAAAGATTTTTTGAACTATTCATAAAAATTTGCTGTCCAACAGCATTTTCTAAACGTGATCTTCGATCCAGTGCTTTGTTCTTAACGTTTTGCCATAAAACTTGAACTTCTTTTTGCCTCTGAATAACATTTTCTAAAAAAATAAATATAGTATGAGTTAAGTTAAAACATTTCAAAATATATTCTATAGATTACATACCCTTTTCATTAGGATAAGAAACTTTCACTGAATTGGCCAACAAATTAACTCTGTTTACTTTTTCCTCTACTGGTGCCAATTCTCTCTCTAAATTTAAATGCCGTCTCTGCAATGCCTGTATAGTTTTTAAATCTAATCCTACTTCGGCTCCATCAAGTTTTTCCATCTTTTCTGTCATCCAATCCCTGGCTTCATCACAGGTCTTTTCAAATAGTTCAACGCTAAATATAATAATTGGTATTTAGAAAATAAATAATTATTTAATATTTATTAATTAAATTTTTATGTATAATATACTTGAAGATATTCAAAAGTATATAAAATTATGTTATCATACCTTAGAGCTCCTTCTAAATTTTTTTCCTTTTGTGACTTAAGCCAATTTAGATGATCCCACATTTTATGTATTTGATCTTGCCTCTTGGTAATCATATCAAGTTGACTGTGTCCAAGATTAGTAAACTCTTTGACTGCACGATCTATGTCTTCTACCCGTTTGTTACTTGCGGATAAATCAGTTAAAAATTTCTGTAAAATTAATTTATTATTTTATATTATTAAGCTATAATGTATTTTGAAACATCCGAAAAAAAGTTTTGTATTAAAAAAGACATACTTCATATTTTCTTTTCGCAGATTCAACAGTATCTAATTTGTCTTCAGTCTTTAATAATTTTTCTTTATCTTTAATCCATTTTTCGAAATCATCACATTCACGATAAAATCCATAAAGACAAATTGAATCTTCCAAAAGTGCATGCCGTTTTTTTGCTAAATCTTGAGATTTCTTGTAAGTTTCGTTAATGTTTGTTATACGTTTTTCAATACTTCTTTCGCTGTTAAGGTTAGTATTATCTATCTTTTTGGACTCTGATAAAAAATTTATTAATTTGTTTTTCATTATGAAAAGAACTTTATTAGAAACTTATTAATTAATTTACCATCTTTATCCGGAGTTCTTGTTTTTTTCACACGAACCTTTTGTTTGACCATTTTTACTTTAGGGACTTTTCTAGAATTTTTTACTACATGTGGCCTCCTAACTGAAACTTGCATAATTTTAGGCTCAATTTCACAAACATAGTTGGCAGGTACAAAACCATCTTGACCATTTATTTTTCTAACACTCCACCAATCTGGGTTTGTTTTATTTAATAAGAACATAACCTGTAATACAAAAATATTATTACTTAATTTTGTCTGAATTATTATTTTAATGATTAATATTATATATATATACCTCTCCTTTGGTCATAGTCATGCCTTGTCCACTAAACGGATAAAGACTTTTTACTTGGGGCACTTGACGTTCTTCAACAACAGTTCGATGTTCAATGTGTTCAATTATTTCTTCTTCTAAAACCTCTTGAGGAAGTAACCTTGTTTCAAAGACCCATTCTTCAATTGGTTCAGTTTCAACTTTTTGATTTGTGTCAGTAGATAACTGAAATTTTATTTTTCAATATTAATTAGTATTCATTTAAATATTAAATTTAACAGTTAAATATAATATTTAATCACCAAAATATTTGATATTCCAGCTTTAACCAAATTTTCAACTTGTACATTCAATGATTGTATATCTCCTTTATATGCATCCAACTCTTCTTCAAGTATTTTGTGCCTGGCTAACAAAGCTTGGGCACTTGGTTCATCAACTCCGTGATCAGTTGTGCTCAGTACGGTTAAATGTTCATGTAGCCAGGATTCAGCTTCATTTGCATCAGCATAAAACTATAAATTTAATTAAATATGTAAATTTATATCATAAATAAGAATATAAAATTTATATTTTTATGTATTACTTGGTAGGCCTCAGCTGCATCTTGTAATTGTTTAGTTCTCACTTGGGATAAACTATTCAACGAATTCCAATTGCTTTGCAAAGAATCAATTCTTGATTGAATTTCTGTAGGTTCACTAGCATTTATACTTAAACCAGATTTATATATTTGATCAGATTTTTGACGGTGTACTTTCATCTCATCCAGTAAAACCTAATTAAAATTAATTAAATTAGCTGAAATCTCAGTAAATATATAATTACATTGTTAAAAGTCATTAACCAACCTTATGTTTTTGTTGTAAACTCAAAACACCTCTCAAGTCTTTTGCTGAAATATCAGCCTTACAAATTCGTTGTTTCTCAACAAGCCATGCTTCTTCATCTTCATGATCTTCAATAAACTGATAGAAGTTTCTGGCTTCTTCTAATCTTGCTCTTCTTTCTTTACTTAATTCAGATAGTCTGAAGAATAGTGTATTGTTTTGATCATTTAGATAGGTAATTTTAACAATTTTAAACTATACTAAGAATGCATAATATGAATAATTTGATTAACTATGGTTTGTAAATGTATATTTGAGCTGAGTGAGAAGATGAAATCAAATAGAGATTTGGAAAAATATTAATTCACAATCAGGAATTTGTGATTACAGGATCCTTTTAAAATTAAAATAAACGTAACTTGAACACAATGCAACAACATGACTAATTTAACTATCAATTGTACAAATTACAAATTATTAATGTCAATAATTTATGATCAAGCCACCAAACATTTAAAATACATTTGTACGTTGGAAAAAGATTATATGAAGTATATATATATATATATATATATAAATGTATATATTACGGGTAGAGTAAGAAAATCGGGTAATGTGAACATTACCCATGCCCATTGGATAAAGTAAACATATTTATAAAACGTTTATTTTGTAGGTACATCAATCGGGTAATTTTTACATTATCTACCTTTGAATGGATAAAGTGTTTTCATAAAATAAAATACGACAAAATATGAACTGTAGATAATATTAATAAAATACAATAAAACATAAATTGTACCTACATGATGATAATCGTGTGCATTAATATTGTATAATAATTTTAAACTACATACGGTGCTATTGGTTTTCGAGTTCACTTGTTCGGTTTATTAATGTTTGATCATTTAGTTTTTTTAAAAAAAAAAAGTTGTCTTCATAAAAAGAGAAGTTATATGAAAATTATAATAAATAAATTAATGAAAAGAATGAAAATTCGGAAAATTTAACGGAATCAAAATATTATAACATACATCTGAAATAAGAAACGTGAATAAAAACAAATAAATCATAATGAAACTTCTATCAATATTTTATAAGTGTCGATTACAAAAAAATCTTTTTGTGAAATAGCTAATGCACAATTTTTTTCGATGGTCAAAGTTTTAAAAAAGGTTTGTGTGAAAATAATCATCTAACAAATAAATGTACGATTACATTTAAATCTGGGGAGATATTTTGCAACTCAAAATGCCTCAAAGTGTTCCAATAAATAACTTTATTTAATTTTTTAAAATTTTTTATTATAAAATAAGAACTTAATTATACATAGTTTAGGTACTAAATAATTTTTTTTCGAATTAAACTTATAGCACACTGGATAATGTACACATTATACTATTCATATGAATAAGGTGTACTTTACCCGGGTAATGTTTAAAATACCATTTTTCGAACTTTACCCGTAACATATGTATGGTGACAATTTTAAATTATATAATAACCCAAAATGGTAAAAAAACAAAATAAAAATGTATTAAAAATGTATATTATCACAAATTTATCGGCATAATAGTGGTTACTGGTTAGTTATAATGTAAATTTTCAAATTTTTTAGAAATCATATTTATATCTCAAATGTTTCTCTCCAAGTTCATAGTTCCCGCTCATACCCAATATATACATTATATAAGGAAAACTGTCTGAACGGCACTCCTCATGTCTGAACTTATGAACATACACAAAGATTTTTATTCCAAAAACAATTTAAAATACTTTTTACTAGTACACCTACTCTCACAATTATTTTAAAACATTTACCTATTGTATGCAGTGTTTAATAGATTTAGACTTTCCTTTAACAAAGCAGTATCTTTATGCTTGGAGGGTACATATTGTTGACCTTGTCTATTTAATCTTCGAACCGTTTCACCAATAGCTGTGGTCTGCATTTCGGTCAAATTTTGTTTTTGTAATAAATCCTCAACGACAAGCAAGTGCGGCCCAACATCTTCAGATTTATACGTCACTTCAATTTCCTACACAATAAATATTATATTACTGTTATAGATCAGTCCAGGTTTCACTCAAATATTACCTGTATAGTAGACATAACCGTTTCTATCTCTCTGAGCATGGAAAACATTGTGCTTATGTTGTTTAAATTTATTTTACGACTTTCTAAAAGTATTAAAAGGTCCTTCCATCTTTGCAACACTTCTTCTTCTCTCTTTTTCACTCTCGAAGCTCCGTGATAGTTTTCTTTCACTAACTCTTCGCTCATCGCATTTAAATCATGAAATCGTTCTTCCCTTGCCATAATATCCGCGCTGATGGCCTCGTGTTTCTTTACTGTAGCATCGACTTGTGTCAAACTGTTGCCAAATCTAGGATCATTCAGCACTTGAATCATTTCTTTTAGGTATCCATCTCGAAGAACACTCTAAATAAAATAATTTACAAAAAAAAATAAAAATTAAATAAACCGATGTTTATTACGAATAGATTCTATTTATTTATTCTAATTCGTCTATACTTTTTTTTCAAATTTGTAATTGAGTTGCTCTAGACGTTCTTGTCTTAATAGTTCTTCACGTAAAGCAACTTCACGTTTGTGTTCAGCCCTGTCTAGGGCTTCCCAGTTGCGTTCGACATCGTGTATCAATTGCCCGTCTTGGGGTATGAACACGCCTTGGCTAAGTGATTTGAGTAGGGTATTTATATGAAAGTAAAGAGCTTCAATTTCACTTCGTTCTATGTACCTGAACACCGGAAATTAAATATATATATTCGACATTATATATATATATTCGACATTATATTATATATATATATAATGTCGAAATGTAATTCAAAACAAACTAGTCATACTTGGGAGGTTTTTCGACCGTTCGGTACTTTTTAAATGCTAATAGTTCACGCTGAATGCCTTCTAAGGAATTAGGGAAATTATGGTTATCAAGTTCTTTAATTTTCATTTGTATCCATTCTAATAAATCTGACGTTAATTGTTCGTATATAATTTTTTTCTTATCAGTATCCATTAGTTGACCAAGTATCTATGAAAACAATAAATCCGTTCAATTTAATGAACATTTATAATTTAAATATTATTGAGAATTACATTCGCTATTCTTCTGCCACTTTTCATTTCATTTTTCATCCGCGCAAATGTATGGTAATACGAAGCGACATACGTAATAACTGATTTTTCATCTGGTCTGTTTATATCGACATCTATTTTTTTTTTAAAACATTTAATTTATGTGTTTGAGTTACAGTTTTAATTTACTAATTACCTTCAGCGTCGAGCAGCCTAGGAATTCCTAGTTCATTGTTCGCTACATCAAATGCTATATTTAAGTTTTCAATATTGGTATTCTTTTCGAGCGAAGGGAAATCGAGAAGATCAGGCCTATGAGAATGAATTAATGCATTGAAACCTAAGCCATTTCTCCACGAGCCTATGGTAAAAATTAATAAAATAAATATTTTATTATGTTTTTCTTACAAAATCGTTTTAAATAATAATATTATGTACTTGAAAAGTCTTGTATGTTAACGCCTTTATAGCCATTCGTTTTTCGTTGACACCATAGAAGCAATGCATCTTTAGCAGATTTCTTTTCGCTACTTTCATTTTCTTCGTCCTAGTTGTTATAAATATTATTATTGATGAACATATTAATATACCATTATATAATAAGAAAAATAAGGAATAATAATTGAGGATGGCGAATGTACAAAATTGATCACTTACCACGTCGATTTCAATTTCTTGAATTTGAAACCTTAAGATAATTGTCCATATTAATCCTAAGATCAATCGAGGATTTCCATCAACAATATCTTCTGCCCCGATGCTCTCCAATCTCACCTGTAAGTAAAATATTTTAAATTTTTTAAATTAATTTGAACATAAAAGTGGCAGTAGTTAATAATAAGAAAATTATATATAAAATGTAATTTAAGGTCTATGTAATTATACCTTCGTGTGCAGAAATGCTAAACTTTTGTTGACGTTTTCTACCTTGTGAACTCTCATACGACCGTTGTTGGGTTTACCTAGTTTTTCACCAGAAATTATTTCTAATAATTTAAGAAGTTTTTTCCCGTCTGCCAAGTCCAGGAACAGATCATCCACCTCCATTCTTACCTACAACGAATTGTAAATAAAATTATGTTTACTGCGTTTGGAAATTCCGTTTAAAGCTTACTTTCTGTAAGAACGAGTTCATCCATTTGGTAAACGTCTTCTTTTGTATGTGTAGCCTCTCCTCCTGGAGGGCTTTAATGCGCCCCTGTTCAAACTTAAGTACATCTTCCCTCTGCGTCATCTCGTAGCGTGTGATACTTGAATGGGCATTTTACAATACTGAAACAAACCCCGAATACGTTATTATAATTTAAATTTAAATCAATACGATTCACACACGCAATCAATATTAGATAAAATATTTATTGGACGACACCAATATTATTATATTGGATATTGTATGTCAACAGTTCTAAAATCGTCTGTAAGAATTATATAAATATCCAATACGAAAAATAACAGATATACACAACTTGTGTGGATTAATTTAATATTTAATTTGATTTATATAACTCAAACAATAAATGGTTCGAGTGTTGGGAGAAATATGATATTTAAATCCAAATACTATTCATGAATAGTGCACACTTAGGAAGTGTTTATACATAAAAACGGTGTTTGTAATACATTTTTCATCGGATAAATGTTAATTTATTGTTCAATTAACAGTCACGCTCTAAGTAACCTTCACAAGGCGACGCAATATAATAATTTTTTATCAATTATGCGTTAAAAATAATAATTCGTTTATTTTGAGTTAAATTATACAACTATTGAATAAAAACAATTTAAAATATTATTAATAATGAGATTAATATGTTTATATTCTAAATGTTAGCGTTAAAACGCTTCGTCACGACAGCGACTTTCCGTATTGAAAGTTTTGCGGTTTCTTTTAATTTGGAAGCCAGAAAAGTTTGATGGGGATTCTAAATAAATTCAATCCAATTTTCAGGTGTTCATCTCTGAAGCGGCTTTCGGCTTAGACAAGTCGAATGAGTAATTGTATTCAAAAGCTCGAAATATAAGTGCAATAATATATATATTACAAATTACTAACAATCAATCCTTTTTGACAGTCCATGATATATTCCAGATGAAGTGAAATGGATTTTTTTGTTGTCTACAGATGCCATTATAATTTCATATTGGATGATCCGATAGGATATTCGAGTACAATAATACATCGATTTGCGGTATACCTTTGAAATAAAATCAGAAAAAAAAAATGTTTTAGATTGGGACGTAACGCTATACAATAGTTATTTGTGTACTGTGTACATTATATCGTAATTATATGATTTTCGAAGGCCTGCATAATTTAATGTTTGGTATTCGATTACAATTTTTTTACTGAAATAATGAGGTAAGTTAAATAAATTATCAAACAAGACAAAAAAAGTATAAAATTTCACCGAGAAAAAATTTAATATAAAAAAAAGTCAAATATTTACTTTTAAAATTGCTGACACGCTAAAACAGCTGATAAAATAACTATGTATTCAGTAACACCAGAAAATGCCTGGGTATTGATTAATTATCGAGGGTTGGATTAGATTGTTTATTGTAATAGAAATAAATTACCTACTCGTTTTGTGAAACAAGCCGTTTTCTTATTGTTTGAATTATTTCTAAATTTCACAAGTGTATTCTCAGAGGTGTAGCTTATTAGACATTTGTTAGTTTTTGTAATGATAAAAATTCAACGCGTAAGGTTCGGTATAAAACAATGTTTAGAGTATTAATGTTTTGGTTATAAATTCTTTTAAATTAATTTTTATAATTAATCGTGAGAACATTTATAATCTTTCCATTGGAGGTACTCCCACTATAATAACTGACCTAGTAGATAGGTGATTCACAATATTTCAGTAATTAACATAAAGAAAACGATTATTGTTTTCAAGGTAAACATTGGTAGTTTGTTTTATGATTGAGTTTATAAAAATTATCTTTGTTAATTGATTTGTATCAATTTACACATTTTTCGTGTAAAAATGATATAATTAATTTATATAAAAATGTATTATGAATAAATTAACGTTTTAAAATGCAAATAAAATAATTTTAATATAATTTCTAAATATGTTAATTCGCAAAAACTGTATTTGTATTCAACAACAAGAAACTGCAATGTACATTACTTAGTAGTACTACTTATACTACCTACACATTACATAAACATGTATATAAATATATATAATGTATATAACATGTATTATTTTTTTAAACGATATTATCTAATGAAAAATGACGAAAATAATTTTATATTTTATTTATTTTGATTTTTTTAAATATACCTATTTTAGACATACCAATTTTTTCACGATGTCTCCTATAGTTGATGGCAAATGATGAATGGGCTTTATATGTTGTCATTGATGAATGTTGATGTATTCTTTATGATCAAAACATAGAGGTTTTTATTATTTCCACTTTTTTTTTTTAATTATTTGTTTTTTTGATTATTGTACCTATATATCTATTGTTGCATTTTAAAGCATTAATTTTCCATGGTCCACATATTCAGTAAAATTTTTATTTCATAGATTTAATGTTATTTTTATGAACTCTATGTATATAACATTGATACAATACAATTATAGGTACGTATGCAAATAAAGCACGTAATAAATCAACGTAACATTGAAATGCATTTAACTTGCCGTTATTTTCAATCTAATTTAAATAATAATTTTTGAAAAATCTCGGATCGAAAAAAAATATAGTATTTGTATGATGTTTTTTCTATATTTTGCAATCCGTACATGAAATATTTCTCAAAGAAAACATATATTTTTCTTAATTGTATTTGGGACACAAAGAGAAAATAACAATAATCTGAGTTTGGATTGTATTCTTAAGTGGTTTTTTTTATTAACGAAACCGAAATAAACATAATTTTAAATGCACACTGTTTTTATTAAAATGTATAACGTATATATTAATTATTGTTTAGCATTCATAAAGAAAATATTTTTTTTTTTTTTGTGGCATTGTATATAATTATTGTTTACAAATTTAATTTCACAAATATTTTATATTTTACTACTTTAAAAGGTATTTAAAAATAAGAATTTCTATTTTATAATCATGTATAATTTTAAATCGAAATGTCGTGCGCCGATGATATAAAAAAATAACCGTTTACTGTAACTTCTTAATTAAAAAGTTGATTGCATAACTGTAGCACATTTAAGTACAAGTTTAAACTCTGAAAATGAAAGTATGTATATGTATAGACACATTGTTAAACTATTTTAAAATTATCTGGTATAGATTCATTTAAGAGTAAACGTTTTTATTTTTATTTTATCGTATTTAAAATCATATTACATTAGTTCAACACGCGAGTTATATCATTATAATACACATTACAGATAATTAGGTTTAAAACATTCTTTGAAAAATATAATCTTAAAATTTAATTTGACCATGCATCTTATGCACATAATTTGACCATTACGAATTAGGAAGGAAAAAAATGGTTTAACACGTAGGTACTTCTCACTTTTGTTTGTAATACGATTATATTGCAGTTTTAATGTATAATCGTAATGAATATGTTTTTTTTCCACGTGGATGACACGTTAAATCTTGTGAGGTCTCGTTTTACGTACTTGGACGAACTGCGAGTGCAACTAATTTACAATACGTAAAAAACAGAAACGTACGACCAGTCACGATAAACGGAAAATATTATGAACATACAAGTCTACAATTAAATGGTGGTGAGTTAAATCGATTAAAATTGTTTCAAATAAATTGTTCATCGACCGTTTTATATGTATTGATATTTTCCCCCCTACGAATTACGCTATTAAATGAATTCCTTAAACAATATAAAAAAAAAAAAATTATTAAACTACTCCGACGCAGGTAATGGCACACATGTTATTGGACAACTGCATTCGAGGGAGCATATAATACATATTATCTTCAAATACACGATAAAAACTTTAGCAATCCATATATGTATACCAACTACTACTTATATATGTGATAATGATCGGTAAAATGTTCATTGCGGGTGTGTTCGTGATTGGATGCGAACTAGGTAAATATTTTTGAATGTTTTATAATAAACTTATATTGGTTAGGCTATAATGCCCTACGCATCATTTGACCACTGCAGTCGCAAAATGTTATACTAATATTATATAGTAATACTTACACCGCGATTACTTCGGAGTATATACCGGAAAATAACAATATCATTAAAAACATAATTCACCAATAATATGAATTATGTTTTATCGACTTGCTCCTATCCTGATACGTTAAAAACCTAGATATCCAGTTATTTTTTCTTAATAAAGCATCTAAGGATGATCTGTATAAATAATGATAGGTTGTTCAGCACCTAGTGTACACCGATTGAAATTCGTATATAGCTACCGAACTATTAATGAAAAAATGTATCAAATACATAGAAATCAGTTATAGTACGAATGTCATGAAAAAAATATTAATAATAATGATATTTAATGATATCAATGAAATACGAAGTCCGATACAGACGCACTTATAGCGTGGAATAAAACGCATACGTTTGATACTATTCATATGTTTGTTTTGTGCTTGTAGGTACATTATAATTAAAGTGTATTAACGAGTGTAAAATAAATAAAGGAAATACTCGAGCACGTGGATGTATCAAACAGAATTCGAAAACAAATTTGCGTATTTAAAAGCAGAAAAAATTAATATTATAGATAATAGTTTCTAATGGATGTTTATGTATTTCAATATCTGGTCGTTATATGCAATTTAATGATAAAAAAAATATTTTCGTAAGCTACGATATAATAAACAACTTGTTTATTGTTGTTTATTGTTATTGGACTTGTGGGGAAGCTCTAACTGTCAAACATATCCTCCTATACCAGTGACGTTCAACCTTTTTCCTTTAGCGGGCCACTTTGGTAAACAATTATCTTCAAGCGGGCCACTAAGTATAAAAGTACAAAAATAATCTTATATATTGGACTTGTTTTCTTATCTTTTATTGTCTATTGAAAAGATTATGAATTAAGGTACACATTAGTTTGATTAATACGTTATTTTAAGTACACGGATGATATCGATATTTAATTGTGAAGTTTACATATGAAAATGTCGACAGAAAAAAACGCAAATATATTGATGATTGCCGAATTTTCATTGGTCTATAAATTACTTTTTCATTGAAATTAATGGAAAGCCGTTTGTCTTGTGTGTCGTGTAAATGTTTCAGTTTTTAAAGAATTTAATATCAAACGACATTATGAATCAAAAAA